AATGGGTGCGCGAATATTTACCCAACTGACGCGGCATAAAAAGTGGTGTTTGGCAGCAAAGCCCATCCAACCAGGATGTCTCGTTTTGATATGTGAAGCCGAATCTCCCAGGTCGCAGTGGAAGAGAGGAAGGGTGGTGGAGCTACACTACGGTAGAGACGGCGTCGCCCGCTCCGCCCATGTCACGACAAGCAGCGGAGTCTACCGAAGACCTATTTCAAAGTTAGCGGTACTTGATGTGGAACCAGCCGGAACTATTAGTGAAGCCTCCCCATCCGGGTCTGCTCACGGGGCCGGGGATGCCGATGATGGCAACCCTACAAATGTTGCAGAGCATGAATAGCGGTGTATTGTATCTGTATTTGGATGTCACTTATGTATTAATTTTATGTAATAAGTCAAGCTATAAGTAGTCGTGCTTCTAGCAAATTCCGTTCTTTTTTACATGTCTACGGAGCGAAACCAATGTGAGTAACATCAACTTGTATAGCTTGTACTATTTGTAAATTGCATTTTTGTATTTATTGTCTTAGAGAATAAACCAAGTTGAGAATCCAAGTGGAAATCAAACCATACTATAACTCGAGATTGCCCTTTATTTGTAGCAGCTGGGATTCTCCCAAGTTTATTTCGAAGCCCGTAAAAAAGCACACAAGGTGTGATTGACAACACAGGAGCCTATTTCATAAAAGTGAGAGGTGCGACAATCGATTTTTCTATAAAATTTCACTGCCAGAATTGTCGGCGACTTTTTTCCTGTTTCGTATACGTTTGTAGGCAACTGTGAAAATTTTTGGAAAACGGCGGTGATAATATGGAATATTGTCGACAATTGTGCTGACAATTGTCACTCTGGCAAAATTGTCGTGACAATGGCGGCAAAACCAAATAGCTCCGTCGGAAAGCTTACACAGGAGAGTTTTGTAAATTTATTTATATGGTAATTGCGTGCATTTCATTACTTTTCAATTAATTTAATAGTTCTTAAAACTAAAATAATGCAAATGCAATATTACATATGATTTACATATAAATTTCGTATGACTGGCGACAATTTTGTCTACGACTATTTAAACTCCGAAAATGAAAATTTGTCACTTTTTCAATGGAATTTCTCTGCAATATAGGAGGTGGTGACAGTTGGTTTTATGAAACAAAACACCCACCAAACTGTCGAGTTGTCACTGACAACATGTCCTTGCAAAATTATCACTGTCGCTTTATGAAATCGGCCCCAGGTCGGTTCTTCTGATAGCAATGCCAAATTCAATCACACTTTGTTAAATACATACATTTTGTATGTATGTACAAAAACTTTGTATGTGTTAATCGAAAAATTTTCGTTGTATACATTTCGATGTTGACATATTTTTGATATTTTGAAGTCATTTTAATAATCATACATATAATAAAGTGTTTTGTCCATATTTTTGTCTTCCCTAATTATGATACATATATTTTGGATCAGTTTTTAAAAATTATGTTTTTTTTTTTTTAAAAGAGCTTTTAGTTTTTGTTTTTCAACTTCTGATTGAACCTTAGCGATTAGCGTTGTCTTAAATATCTATAAATATAAAATAATAGCCGTTTTCGTTGTTTGGAGTTAACTCAAAAACTACTGCATAGATTTCAGTTAAATTTTCAGAGGTTATACCTTTCATATATGGTCCTATTATAGGCTACCAGAAAACTCGGTAGGTGACGCGGGAGTCGAGTTATTTATAAAAGTCGTATTTATGAACCGATTTCTTTCAAATTCAAAAGGTATAGTTTCAGCGTAATGGAAAAAACGTTTACCAAAAACGGAGCCGCTAGGTGGCGCGGGAGTTGAGTTATTTCTAAAAGTCGTATTTATGAGCCTGTTTTGTTAATACACATTCGAAACGTTTATTACTTTAATGATGATCATTTTTTCATTCGAAACATATTCAGCCTTATCATGAGTTTCATCTTCCCTGAACCGGTTCACTTTTCGCTTTTGGTTTCCATGTACTTACTATGGGGGGAATCAAAATTTCAGTCAAACTGTCGGAGGTCCTATTATAGGCTACTAGAAAACACGCTGGTGGCGCTGGAGTATAGTTGCTTATAAAAGCCGGAGTTTAGGTATTTAGAAAATCCGTATTTTTTATAAAATCTGATTAGATGGCTAAATCAAGGATGCGTTTAAGTATGCATATAAAGACCGTAACACTGTGTAAGCGTGATCTTGCATCTACCTCCGATTGACGAAGTTGCTCGAGGCGGCCGTTATTACAGCAGTAAGACTCATAGAAACCAATTCATAAATATTAAGACGAATTGTAAAAGTGGCAAATTGAAAAGGAAAGATTCGATCACATCTGTCCAAGAAGGAACACGATAGGTATATCAATGGCTTCATTTGAACGATATTCATGAGATCACACGACTCATTTAGCCAAAGTACGCGAAAACTTGTCATCCTGTGGAGCAGCAAGGGTTCTTGGCCTTCCTATAATTGAAAACGCTCATCTGTGCTCTTGAGTTTCCGTATAAGGACATTTATTGGCTTACATGGTATACCGGACTAATGCTGAAGTTGCAGGATCATAGAAGAATATTACGCGCGCTTGGTAGAGATCTCACAGGTGGAAATAAGACCATAGGTAAAACACATTACATCGAAAGGGATTAGTATTCCATATGGAATCACAGCGCTACTATCCTTGGCATATGTGTGAGGAGGATTTCGTTTTTTAGTCGTTCCAATTTAAACTAAAAATGTTTACTTTACAGACTGCTTTTGCTTTTAAACGCTATTTTTGAATTGGCCAACGCAAAAGATCTTACTAGGCGCTGCGAAGCAAGCGGGCAATTGCTAGTTTTATAATAAAACACATGCATATTAACGGTTATTCTTACCTAAGTAGATCCTTCGAACTTATGCTCTCCCATGACATGACTCTGTTGCGAAAATTCGTCTAAAAAGAAAAAAAAGAACATTAAACATTTTATCGGTGTGGCAAAATCAAGATATTTGCAAAAACTTTCTCAATGGCCGAGTACACATGGTGAAACGAATACAGATTCTATCTGTCTTGCCGAGTACAAATCGTAGACCTGTTCATGAAATCCATGTTTAAAAAGTTTTTAAAATTCTCAGCTTATCCATAGAAAACCACTTTTGATGACTACGTGGACTAAACAATTTTTTGGACTAATAACACTGGTCTACAAATTTCAACTTTTTTTCTGCGAATAAGACGGGACCTGGTGTTTCTGAACGGATTTTTCGTGCTGAACACGAATCCGGGGTCAAAAATGTCCCATCACGTCACGTTTTCGAGAAAAAAGGGGTTGAAACCCCTAAAAACAGCGTTTTTGGCCATTTTCGAAAAATTATAGAGCTGAACCCTGACGTGGTACAAATTTTGCATATATCAGAAATTAAAGGCTAAACCGTGCCCTTTCGAATGAGCCCTATGCCGAATTGATCGCGTGCACCCTTAAAGCAGGGGGTGTATTTGTGTTTAGGGGTGCAGGAAAAATTGATCACAGAAAGAATTTAATCTTAAACGATCATAGAAAATTAATAATGCCAAGGTTTTAACTATATTAAAAGTCGCTGATTACGAATCTGCAGTTAGATTTTAAAAATTTAAGATGACGGGTCGAATATGGTGGATATAAAAATTGGACTCCTAGACACAAATACACCCCCTGATCTAAGGGTGCATGCGATTAATTCGGCATAGGGCTCATTCGAAAGGGCACGATTTAGCCTTTAATTTCTGACATATACAAAGTTTGTAGCACGTCAGGGTTCAGCTCTACAATTTTTCAAAAATGGCCAAAAACGCTGTTTTTAGGGGTTTCAACCCCTTTTTTCTCGAAAACGTGACGTGATGGGAAGTTTTGGACCCCAGATTCGTGTTCAGCACGAAAAATCCGTTCGGAAACACCAGGTCCCGTCTTATTCGCAAAACCCTTGTAGACCAGTGTAATTTGTTAGCAAATTTTAAGTTTAAATATGGAAAAAATCTTTTAAGCTTTATAAAAAAAATCATTGGTTAGCAAGAGTGTAGTAAAACCGTGAAAAAATCTAAAGAAATTTTAAACCTACAGACATTTTTTTGCATTCCTTACAGTTCAACGGATTTTATGCAAAATATTGAAACTATTCTCTATTATTCTTGTCTTCAAAACAACGGCCTGTTTCAAATTAAACTAGTCACTTGTATTTATAAGAATCAATGGAAACTACTTAAATCACGTCATTTTTACATTAGGGCGATTCCACCGTCACGGGTTGGACATTTGTACAGAAAAAATTGTCATTCTTGTTTAAATTTAAGTATAAAGTACTCAACAATTCTACATTTTGATAAAGCTAGGTGAATATTATATGAGTTATTACAAAATACGAAAAAAATTCCAGCCTTTTATATGGAAAAAATCGGATGTATTTCTTTTGTCACGGGTGGGACAAAAACCGAACCCGCTTTTTGGAGCAGACATATTTTAGGAATACTCTGCGAATTTATTTCACTTTTCTGTGTGAACTTGATGTCTTATAATAAAACAAAGAACCAGGAACACAAACAAAGCAAAAACTACAAAAAAATTATGGCTTTATTATACAAAAAATCCGAAATTCCTCTGTCACGGGTGGGGCAACGTTTGTCACGGGTAGGATACGTACGAATTTTTATATGAAAGGGAGCTTTTAGTGTGGTCCATATATAAAGATTAGTTATTAAAAAATATAAGAAGCCAAGTAGGGGTTAAATTCACTCACGTTTTACCTTAGGATGGTGCCTTTTATATAGAATAAAATACTTAGCACCGTCAGCCAAAAAAATTATAAAAATGAACGCGATTTCCTGGCGTATTGAAATTTTCACTTTTACCCACTTAAATTTAATGGATTATAAAACTGCATACCTAAAAATTCTGAACAAAAAGTTTAAAATTTTTTGGTTTAATTGTTAAAGTTTGTTGAATTTTTATAATTTTTGTAAGAAGTTTGAATTGTAGATTTATGCGGTTCTGGTTAGGTAATGTGCTAGACTTTTATAAAACAAACTATAAACATTAGATTAACCAAATAAAAAACTAAAACGGGTCAAAATTTAACTTACTTAATCAGCTGACCACAGGGGTATATAGATAATGGACGAGTCCGCGCATCCCCCCTCCTCCCCTGCGTCCACCGCAACAAACAAATAAAGCTTATCAGCCCTGTAAACCTACCTCTGACACGGGTGGGACATGCTTCTCTGTTGAATTATTCTTATCTAACTACGTAGAAACGACAATGCAATTGTGGTAGATATTTGCAATGAATTTCTAACATTATGTAACAAACACGAAACACAATCTCAACTTCTGTAATTAAATATAGCAACTTTTAGCTTTTTTGTCACGGGTGGGACAAGACTAATACTGCTTAATAATAACTCATAATATAGATAAATCAGTCACACAAATTAATATATAACACAATTTTATTAAAAGCAGATGAGTTCTACTAAATATTTTTCTACCAAACACTTGAACACACAACCTACTTTAAATTCATTCAAAAAATTTACTTAGAACTTGATTTCAAATTGTAAAAAAGGTAATAAAAATGCATTTATAGCTTTAATTTGTTATTTTTTGGTTGATTCAAGATTTTTACAAATGTTTTATCCCCACGTTTGTTAGTTTTATAAAGAAAATAATTTTTGCACTGAGGTTCGCTTTCCCATGGAACCTCCCATTACTCCTTTATAATTCCAGATAGAAAACGAAAACATGATTCAGTCAAGGGGCATTACCCCCTACATTTCTCTACCGAATTGAATAGTTATATTTTTTTTTTTTAATTAGAACAACAGTAGTGCATTTCAGTAACTTTACACGATGCGATTGTCGAATTATTAGTTTTAACAGATGTTCATCAAAATTTGAAACTGTTTAATCACATTTTTTTAGAATTTTTTTGAGTACGCAGTTTTTTAAATTTTAGTATAATAAAGTGCAAATTTGAAGTAGATTGTTTTTGATTGATTTTTGACAATTTTACAAATTATGTTCGATATTTTTGTTGTATGGAGAAAATCCGCCACACCTTCCACAAAAAAAATTTTCAAAAATCAATAGTAAATCGAAGTTAATTAAAGTTTGCACTTCATTTAAATAAAATTGAATGGGCTACAAAACTACATACTCAGAATGTTTAACGAAAATGTTTGACATTTTTACCAACATGGTTTTTGTTAGATAACGAGCTACACTTTCATAAAAAAATAAGAAACATTATATAACCAAACGAAAGGGAAATAGCCAAAGAATGCTAAAATGTCGTTACTCTAAGTAGTGTATTGCTACGATTATCCTTGAATTAATCGCTGAATTCCTAAATCCTTCCTTGTTTGCGTCACAAAAATACATTTATCATTAAAATTCTACGGTTACTGTTTATTAACAAATTGTATTCAATTCAACACATTTACAGTCAGCAGAAGCTGCATATTTTTACTACTATGAGTACAACTAAAATATGTGATTTCGAATGACAATTTTTTTTAGCATTGAATAAGAAAAAGACACGCATTGTTTGATCATAAGAATATTCACATTGATTCTTCATTAAATCCAGAAAATTATAGGAAAAAAGTTTTTGAATTAAAAGATTCCTCAGGTTCATATAGGTTTCCCAATTTAAAAAGAAAATATATCTGCATTACTAATATAGCCATTTTCTAATGCTTTAGTAGAACGTATATTTAGTAGTTTAAAATGTGTAGGACTGACTTGAGGACCAGATAGAGCACTGATATAATTGCAGCAATATTATATACAAAGCAAGGCATAAAAATAACGGTGATACATAATTTGTTTGAGCCGCAAGAACAAAAGTACCAATTGAATTGGAGAATATAATTAATTTTTATTCTAAGTACCGTAGTACATAATACTCATATCTGTAATAAAAAATTTTGAGTAATTTGTCCGGATTTTGAGGATTTTTCATTTGTTTTTGAGGAATTTGGCAATTTTTTTGAGGCAACACTGATGTACATCAATGATTTGCTGTTGTTTGTGCATGCCACCACAGCGTTGGAAAAATGGAATTCGGCTAGACAGAGGCAAGATTCCCGTAAAAAACAGGGCTAAATTACCCATTTAACACGCGTGGTTTCTCAGAGCGTATGTGTACTCTAACCATACACTTGTACTACTGCTGTATGCATATGGCTGTATTAATGTTGCAAACATACAAAAATGCATTAATGGAACAGTATTAAAGCATTCTTACAAGATATGTATCCCCGTATGTAAATGCTACTTCTCTGATATATTTCAATATACGGGGACATACAAAAAAGTAGCACTTACATATGCAAATGCATATCTTGTAAAAGCCCGTTTGTGCTGAAAATTGTATCGCACAACACGTCCGTTCACTAAAATTTTTGTACAAGACTGAAAATATTACAAAAATTCCACTTCAAATTTATCAAGAAATGTACTAAAAACAACGACAACGTAAATTCGCTTGCAATTCACTAGAATTTGAATTTATTCGTGGAAATTCATGACTACGCATGAATTGTTCACACTAATTCACTCATATAGCAAGCATTCTTCATGAACGCATACAACCGATTTCTACTGGGTACTTTACCATATCAATTCTAATTTGAACATACTTATGTACATATGTATGCATGTATTAAATCTAATTGGATTGATGGCATGTTGATCTCAGTGATCGGACTTAATAAAAATTCTGTGTGTAGATTCTGGAAAAAATGTGGTAGATTGAGAAAAAATGTGGTAGATCTCAGGTTTCGGATCAAACTTTTTACAACAATTAAAAAAATTGGAAGGTTTCACCTTAACACTTTTTAACTCGGATCTCTAGAAAAAAACTTTTAACTTGGGTATAGCCAATTTTGACAATCCTCAAGAAAAAGTTGCGATCCCGTAC